TAATAATATTAATATTTTAACAATTATTCCACGAGCGCGCGTTGGATATGAGATGATAGATAGCCAACGAGGCGCGTAGCGCCGAGTTGGCTATAATCATCTCATATCCAACAAGCGCGAGTGGAATAATTGTTTTATTAAAAACGCCCTCAAGAAATTATTATTTTGTAAGAAGAAACTGGATTTTTTAGCTCCCTTTTGATTTTAAGCTGACGCGTACGCTTACCATATTTGTAGATTATGGTATATTGGCTGATATACCATAATGGCTAAGCCAATAAAAAGTCTCGAATTGCATTATCCAATGATCCAGTTTTTAATAAATATATATATAACTGCAGAAAGTACTGTTTCGGCCTTCTGGGCCTCATACATATATTTCAGTGAGCTATGCCTCTCTTTCCTTTTTCCTGATACAGAACCACCCATTTCCAGTCTTGTTTCCAGTCTTGTTGAAAACAAAACTAACTTGTCTGTTTACTTATGAAAATTTTCCTTTTGTAGCTGTTCATATATAGACAGTGCGTTATTCTCTAGATATAGTCTTCTTATTTTTTAATAGTTTTCTCCTCGAATGTTTGGTGAGCCTTTTCGAGTTCATCTATCACTTCCAATAGCTTCGTTGCCACAGCTCTCTCGGCTGGTGAAGACGTATATTCCTCCTTGACTGATATCTGTTCATCCTTTTTTGTGTCGCAGGATTCTTGTGAATGTTTCCGTTGCTCATTAATTCCAAGAAATTTCTTTCGAATCTCGTCTCGGCTTTGAAGAAGCTGTGTAAAAATCATCTGCGCTTCGGAGTCTGGGTCCAGTGGATCTCGCCAGTCGCTCAAGGTCACGTGTGTATGTGTCCGCTGGCAACCTCCAGCTGAAACAGGGCGTAGAAGTTTAGTTTTAGTTTTCACAAGCTGGAGTTTGAAGTATTAGGGCGCAATCAACCAACCCTTCGCCGTGCTTTGATTTCAAGACACGAGTAAGGAATGTGGTGGGTTTATACTCGACTTGTTTCACTGCGAACTCTTTCTAGGGCCGTGATTGGTTTTCAAAACCATGTTTCAAAAACACGTGATCGATTCCACTGACCTGATTTGATGACTCGCTTACAGCATGTCCATTTGTTCTTATGAAAGACTCCCGGATGGAAGTAACTGAGCAGATTAGTGTTAGAGATGGTGGTTTTCCTTATTGCTGAGAGCCATTGATTCATTTCATTCACATCCTGAATACAAAGTAAAAAGTTACTAATTTTTTTGTTGCCTGAGGTGAGCCTCTAGCTCGCGGGCTCAGCTACAACTTTTGTGCAGCAGAGGCGTATCTTATAAGCTGTTGAAGCAGGCTTGGTTTTTCAATTAGAGCAATTTTCAATTGAGCGTCATTGGTAGTCCTGAACTGCTTTGGTTTTACCCATCCACTCTCTGCGAGTTTAGTTCTGACGATTATCTTTGGTTGCATATACACCTACAAAGAATGCGCACAGTTTGCATGATTTCATGAGTTTCTGATCTAAAGATAAAAGAATGTACCTGAGCGGCGAGGTAGAGAATTTGCAGAGCTTCATCGTAATCTTTACTGACCACTTGAAACACGTTGGGCTTTTGAAAAGCTGACTCGTCAACTCGTTCCACGGCAAGAATTTTTCTTGTTGGGAGAAACTGCCTCGTCTGAAATGTAGGAAAGTCAATTAGACAGAGTATGGGAGTGACATATCCCCTTACTTTGTTTCCTCATACATTTATTACCATAACGATAGAAGCTGACAGTTGAAATAAGAGATCACGTCGAACCAAGTTATACCATCTGATAGGCGTCCGTATACATATCGTCTTTATACAAAACTAACTCCAACCAGCTGAAGAGGTGCGTCTCAGTTTATGTGTCATGAAGTGGCAGAGTAATTACTACCCGTTATTTCTACCCCATTCGCTCCGACGAAGGGCTAACGCTCGAAACGTCAGCTTTTGTAATCATTACGGTGGTTAATTTACCATTTCAACTTTGTTGATATATCCAAATTATTTAATTTCTACCCCTCCTGGATGGGAGATTACAGCAAAAACCCGCATACAAGAACATGTGGATTAAGAACACCCAGGCTGAAATTTGGTAAAAAAGGAGCATATATATAAGAACACATTCAGCCTGAAAATTGAAAATTGTTCTTATATATAAAAACTCTTCCCTTTTCAGTTTAATAGAACAAACAGTGTCTGTAGCTTTATTGTGGTATTGCACTAAGATCTCTGTATAAATGCTAGTAATTTCACTTGCTGTGGATAGTAAATGTACAGCAACTGTATTTGGAATTAAAAGTCTTATGATTACAATTATAAGTTATGTATTTCATCATAGTTACTAAATCCCTTACATTTTTTTAAAGGTAAAAAATTAAGAACACTTCAGAACACTTTCAGGCTGATTTCACCTAAAATACCCGATATATAAGAACCCAATCAGCCTGAACCCCGAAAATGGGTGTTCTTGTGTGCGGGTTTTTACTGTAGTCCAATGCAAGTGGCCTTCTCTTCCTCACTTCCTCATTTCGCTCCCTCCCAAGTATGTCGTCGGGTTTTTTCTGACGATAAGACGGTACCCGCGTGAGTCTTAGAGATAGGAAGGGGGGAGCTGTGACAGTAAAGTGTCTTATCTAACAACACAACATTCCCACATGGCCAGGGATTCAGTTCAGAGGCCAACGTGTCTCCGAAACTGTTTGCCGTTATTTGGGAATAAATCTCATAACAGGCCTTTTGAAATCTTCGGGAACGCCCCGCTTTAATAATTTGTTACCTGTGAATCATTAGTTTTTGCGTAGAGGAAATTCTCCGTGCTGAGCCAACAATGGCGCTTTTTGAACTTGAACGGCTTGGGCAGCCTAGTGTCCCTGTAGCGACTTTTCTTGAGAGAACCTTCTTTGATGATCAATGAGTGACTAAACACAGTCCTCCTGTGGTCACAACCTGGAACTATTTATTTGAAAGGGAAAAGAAAATGAAAGATGCGAAGAAAAAAAGCTCCCAATTTTTCCATCGAGGAAAAACCAGGATAGCCTAGATAGATCTGATGTCCTTTCCTTTGGAGGTTAGTGGAGGTAGATTTTGTAACCAATGGAATATGCTCATAGTGTGCACAAGCCGTCATCTACAATACCACCTTCGACAATTTGCTATCTTTCCATTGTATTATTTTTAGAGTCAAGACTGATTTCTAACTAATATAAGGATGCAGCGAATGCCCAGTAACTTGTTTTTACCTTCTGTATCTTCCACGTCTGCAAGCTGATCCAGGAAGTCCTTTACTTCATCAGTGTAGAATGCAATCCATTTGTACAGGGGTCCCATCCATTCTTCTTTTCCGTTCTGAAGAGGGAGTTCTATGTTTCCAATCTTCTGGACAGTCTGACAATAGAGGCAACAAACAAAACATCAGAGATATATACTTCAGTTTTACGGCACAACGGTTTTCACTTTTTCCGGGATCGTCTAAAGGAAATCGCATCATCATGATAGAATTCTTTTCGGAAAAGTCTGAAAATCGCGAATGTATGGAACCGAATCCTCTCCCCTACTCCTTCTTAAGTTTAACGAGTGCACTTTCTTGTAGGTGCTCATCGCCCTTTTCTTCCTAAATACTGACCTTCGCTAGTATGGTCAGGGTGCGTGACACATTTTTTTCGGCGTGGTTTTCCCGCAGACCGAAGAGCTTAGGTCCAAGTATTGCTGGCACGTAGAACCGCAGAAACAGGAAACCACTCACGGCTGTGTACTTAGAGTCCTGAAAAGGGAATGTCATAGTCATTTCTAACATGTGAAATTGTATTATCTACGATCAATATATGCCGCGGAGAACTGAGCAGAAATCTTGGCATGCCTGTTTAGTTTCCAGGCTCCACTGTGCCAACGTATCGCTATCTGAACTACCTTCAGTTTCGCGGACTTTGATATGCACACTTTGCGCTTTATTTTCGAATAAATGTAATAAACAAATATATAACAAATGTATAACAAATACATCGAGTAACAAATGTATACCATCCAATGTCTTTACTTGGAGACAGTTTTGGAACTGGAAACCTCTTAGAGCAAATCGCATTTAATTCCTTCCTAAAGTTTTACTATGAGGTCATGGGAATGAAAGAAATGATCGGTAACCAGAGAAGATCTTGATAGTTGTACAAATTCCCCATGTCCTAACCATAGGAAATGCATTTCGAATAGTGTGCAGAATATGCATACTGATGTTAAGGTTTTTAATGAACAAATGGTAAACACCACAGCGTACACTATTGAGTTATGGATGCACCTGGGAAGTTGCTAAGCACGACAGAAGCGTAAGAGTCTTTCGAGGCGATAGCCGAGAGCGACTCTAGCTTCTTGAGTGCTTAGCAAACCTCCCAAGTGCATCCATAACTCAATAGTGTACGCTGTGGTGTTTACCATTTGTTTTATAACATAACATTGATACATTGTAACTAAAGAGTTGCCTTTTATTTAACAAATCTTACGCGACCAGAAAAAACAAGCGCGCGCGGAAAAATAGTCTTTGCATTTGCTCACTTCAGCAGGTACACCCATGGACAAATGGGGGACGCTAAATTGACCAATCAGAGTGCGCGCTTTACTTTGGTTATGTTATAAAAAGGGTTAGTGGTGACATAATAGGAAATCAAGCTTAAAAGTATTTCATGCGATTCACCTCATAGTCAGGTACATCACCAAAGCGATCCGAGACTCTCTTAGCGAGATTTCTGAAGGCTGCTCGCATGTAGCTTGGACATTCTTTGACTGAGTTCAGGATTGACGTCATAACTGTCTCTAGGTAACCAGTCAACACTGACAGACTCTTGTCTTGCTCGTCTGCCGGCCTCAAGCTCAGGCGCCTGCAAACAGGTCAGGAAACTCTGTCAAGGCGTTATGTAAGTTTCACAGGGGTCTTACAAAAAGCAACGTCTATCAGAAACGGTAGCTTGTAATATGCAATCCTTGTCAATCGTCAGCATCTTTTACTATCCTCGATCCTTATCGGTCTATCGCGAACAAATATGAGCGCTTCATTAAGCGTCGTCCCTTCTTAAACTAACTTCCCCCCTCCCCCCTCTGGGGCCTCAAGTTTGTAATGAGCCTCCCCCACCTTTCCCATTTAATCTTCCTTCTTCCCCCCTCTCCCCCCCCCCATTCCCAAACAAAAACTCCCAAAAGAAAATTCTGAGCAAAGTGAGGAATCGAGTCAACCACGAAGTGCTGTTTAATCAAACACCAAATTTTCAAAGCTATAATAGTAATACCTGTATTGCAGACAGTGTGGAGAATTGACATCTCGATCTTGGGAGTGGAAGGGAAGATTCGTCATTTTAAATACGTGGTCTGCCAATGACATGTACTTACTATTCTTTCTGATTGGTTTGTTTGTGGAGCCTATGTTTTCAAAGGCTTTTATTCGTTAGTGCTGATTGGTTCAGATGACCGACTCGTATACCTCACCTGAAGGCGCTATGTTTCCTTTCTGCAGCTTTGCATGGGTCGAGTTCGCAGTATTTGCGTTCTTCAAATATCTTGTCGAGAACTGGTTTCAATGTGTCCGAAAGGTATGGCATACCTACAATCTGACAAAAGGGACAAGGACCTTATTAGTTAATGAAAAAAAGCGAAGATAGCAAAGTACTTAACATACAACCACGGGGGGCAAATCAGTTGTGGGTGAACCTCTGTGGAGACCGCGCATCTAAAATATTTATTTTATTTCTGAGCACCATACGTTTTCAAATGTTCGTAACCTGGATTTCTTGCTAAATCAAGATGACATTCCCTTGTTGGTCGCCTCGTGTTTAGTTGAACATTATTACCTTCATGAATTGTTCCATACACTTGGCTGCCAGACTGTTGCCTCTAAACAGAGTCCTTGGACAGCCTACGAATAAGAGAACAACAACAATGAAATGTTGTGTTGTTGGTGAACAAGTAAACTTGATTGGGAAAAGTTCATTGAGGGAGAATCCCACGTCTTCTCTAAGGTCTTCTTCAAGATCTCCTCTATGCACAAAAGTCAAATTTAGTTGATGTCGACAGGGGGATGCCGAGTCGTGCTATACTGTCTTCTTATTAGCACCTGGGGGCATGAAAAGTTGATTCAGAAAAAGAGTGGTGCTAACGCACCCTGAGACCCCTCGCCCTACCTTCCTCAGCTTTCCTCCTGGTCCTGAAGAAGGATTACGCGAGGTACTGGTTTTTGGATATCTCTAATGTTCAGTGATTGTTAAGCATTCTTAAAGTTGAAGAAAAGCCGAGGATGAAATAGGCTCATTTGAACTCCTTTTTAGCTATTTGATAACCTATGCTTGAAATAAGCTCTTTACAGCATAGACATTAAGGTACAAAGCCATTACTTATACTTGTGCTCCTTATCTCGCGAAGAGTCAGATAATCCAGAAATGGCATAACGAGATCTTGGCCAATAAACAGACGAACAAGTTGGTGAGCCAGTATTGCTTGGTCAGCGGTAGTCAGCTGTTCTATTAAGCTCAGCGCTGTAGGATCCAGACTCTCCGGGTCCTTAGCGGAGTTGACAAGAGTCTCCACTAAAGACTGGTAACATTTCTGAGGTAGGATGCGTTCTTGAGTCAACCGAACCTTCATTCGGATACTACCGAGGTTCTCTCTGTCGTATGCCACAAAAGTGAATCATTAATACTAAGGTAGCAAGTGATGAACATGATTCGTGTGTGTGTTTCGCGATCGAAGGGTTGGCTTAAACAAATCTTCTCAGGCGATGGGCACAAGGCCGATTTGTATGGAGGCAAGACAGGTAAGCTGTTTCCTGCATATAAATCGAGGGTTAGTTAGTGGTAAATTTCCCGAGGTAATGATTTTAAGTGAAAAAGTAACGGATACGAAGTTCTCTTTCGAGGTTTTGCTTGTTTCGTTTGGCGTTAGATAGATAGATAGCTTTAGATAGATAGCTTTATTAGGAAGTAAAATCATTGCAGCCCCCGGGCCGGCTGAAATACGACTTACTTTACAATGGGAATAAATTATCTCTTACTCTAAGATAACTACAATAAATGCCGCAAAGTGTAATCTACAATAAAATACAATAAGAGAAGTATCAAAAACCAAAATACAAATAATTAAGATAGCTACTAATAATTAAAACTGTTCGCCATGATAAATGGCGTTGTACTTACTTCTCACAAGCTCTCGCTAGTTAAATTTTTGGGTGAAATGACGTGGTTCAGTTGGTTATCAGAGAACTTCGATTTCATGCACTTAGAACCATGTTTCTTAGTCCTTGTCCAAAAACAGAAATGCACTAATCTGTATGATGACTTTTGTGTAACTTACGTCTTAATTTCTTTCGACTGAGGCATCGGAAACAGCTTGTACCAACAGTCTCGGGTTTGTCCCGGCTTGAGCTTCGACAGGAAAGTTGTGGCCTGATAAAGAAACAAACTTAAAGTCAAACCTCGGAAGACTTTGTCGTCTTTGACCCTCGTTTGTAAAATGTGCTCCAGCAAATTGAGGCAATTCTTTGAATGGTTGTCGAAAGTTATCTGGGATTATATTTGGTTTGCCTAACACCGCTCTGTGATTGGTCCAAAAACTTCACGACTTCATATGCGCCAATGGAAAAGAGGTAACTTGATGATTCGCGTTTTCCCGCGTTTCAGAGAGCTTGCTTTGTTTTAGCTTTACCTTGCACCGTGATTGGTCCTGAAAACTCGCGCCACTCTCATAACCAATCAGATGCAAAACTGAAACCAATCATGAGTTGGTCGCCCACATTTTCCCGCCCTTCGAGTTGTTTGTTGCCTTTTTTTTTTTTTTTCTGAGCTGTCATGGTCAGAAATATAGTTTGATCGGAGTACAGTTAACACCTGCACAAACGAACCTACGATTTTCCGGTTCAAGCTGATATGTTACTAATACTTCAAAGTGAGTAATCAGTCTGACGCTGTTCTTTAGGGTTTCTTAATTTTTTTCTTGAAATTATATCAGGCTTGGATCACTGAGAGGCCTAATTACTTGATGTTTAATCAAAGTTTTTTAAGGAAAAAATCTTAAAAATAAGCTATCATTTTATTATGATACAGACAATATTGGACACTACCTTCAATAAAAGTGGGGTAGCTAATTAAATAGGTTTAGAAGGGCTGAGGCATTGGTGAATATCGTGTTGTAAAGCGCCATTGAACATTGGGATACTGGCACTGTGTAAATCTTTTATTATTATTATGAGAGAGGGGTAGCATTTTTGTTATTACAGTTCTAAATGCAAAAGCCTATAATTTGTTCTTGTTATTTGATACCCACATTTTTTTTAAAAAAAGAACCAGTTTAATTTTGGCAGGTTGAACTGGTTGCCATTTGTTTGGCGTTTTATTTATCAAATTTCACCTTGAAGGACAAGCTTTCGATGCCTAAGCTTCGTTCTCTTCATTCACGTAAGAAAAATACTTATTTATAATTTGTTCAAAAGCTTTAGGTTCACAAGGTTCGGCGAATTGAAGCTTTCAAACGAAACTGAATTCGCCTCTGATGCATCTTTGACTGAGAATGTATTTTGCAAGGTTTGCAAGGCTTGAAACGCTCAAGACTGAACAAATGACGAAGAAGAAAAATGCACCCTTTCACAAGAGCAAGCGATTATAACCTGTTGTCAAGGGATAACATCTAAATCTTAAAATAAAGACGATATAGGTCAGACAGTAAGAACACCCAGTATCATTTTGCGTTGGTAAAATGAATCTGATCCAACCTTCAATGCTGGGAATGTATTTCATAAATTTTTAAAAGGTGTTTTTCCCTCAGGGTCTAATTGAATAGGTAAATTGAGATATCGACCATGATCTTTTTACTGCTTATCGCCTTTGGAACGCTCCTCCCTGGTTTACGTTTCGTTTCGTAACCGAAGCTGGGAACGCTAAGATCCTATTGCAATCAGTGAATGACGAACTTTCGTCGAACGCTTTTGAGTTAAACCATGATGTTTTGAAAGAAATCTCACAGATGAAGCGACCGATCCAAGTTATCGCCGCCGTTGGAAATGCTCGAGTTGGGAAATCAACCTTCCTAAATTTAATCACTCGTATCTTTAATCGAGAGGGGAAATCTAACGCAATTGAAGAGGTTTTCAAATCCGGTGCTTCGTTGGATCCAGTCACTCGTGGTGTGTGGGCGCACGTAATTCAACATCCCGATAAAAATGGAAGCATACTTTTGCTCGATGTGCAAGGAACAGATCTAGGAAATGACAGAGTAACTCATCGGCTCAGTATGTTTACAGCCTTGTTGACTTCCGGACTGAATATTTTTGCTTTACAAGTCGTGAAAAACGGAGACATCGACTTCCTTTATCGCATAGCGCGCTTGAGCGAGCTCGTCTTTGAAGGTAAAGATCTTCCAAATAATTTCCCCAAACTTCGCATTGTTTTACGAACAAATCTGGACGTCCCTGACGATGATAGCTTTGAGGATTATGTCGGTCGAAAAATCTTTCATCCTGACGGTCAGAGCAAGGGAAAAGAGAAAACGATCGAGAAGTACTTTCCAAGAGGTCGTATTACAGTGAGTCTTATCCCTTCGGTGAATAATCCCCCTGAATTATTCACAGACATAAAGCAGTTGCAAGAAAGTTCTTCTTGGAAATCGTTCGAAACGTTGTTACAGAAAATGAAGGATTGCCCTGTGAAAAGTACTTTTGGAGGCCTTCCGATTGACGGTGAAGAACTTAGTTTCCTCACTATAAAGCTCGTCGAAGCAATGAACAGTCCTGATGATTCTTGGGAAGATTTCGGAATTGTTTATGCCACCATGGAAAGATATATTTGTACAAGAAGATACGAAAAGTACATCAAACCTGCCTTACTGTGCCTAGTCTCCCCGCAGCCGTGATGTTTCGGTCACGCAACGCTGCCTCACCGAAACATCACGGCTGCGGGGAGACTATACTGTGCCACACCTCAAGTGAAATGGAAGCCAATATGAATAAAGTGTTCAATAAATTTGAACAGGAATGCAGTCTACCAAATGAGATATCAAAGGGGAAGGAAGAACTGATAAGTGCGCTGAAAGAGAAAAGAAAGCGCGAGGAGGAAAAAAAAAAGAAGACAAGAAGAAAGGAGAAGAAGATTGGAAGAGAGGGAATGGGAAGAAGAGAGAAAAAGATCGGTGGAAGAAATATGGAGACTAGAAAAAGAGGAAAGAAAACAAGAGGATGGAAGTGTGTTGATGACCGCTGCTACGTACTTAGGTACACTTCTCGCAGGTGCATACTTTTTCAGTGACGAAGATCTGAAAGACAATGTAACAACTCTGTACGGCTCCGAGTTCAACGAAATCGACCTGAGAGGGGTCTGCTGGGAATGGAATAAAAACGCTCAGAGGACCTTTGGACTGACTGGAGAAGACTGTGGAGTGATTGCTCAGGAAGTTAAAGTTCTGTATCCTTGGGCTGTGGTGGAAGGAATGGATGGCTATTTACGAGTGCACTGTGGCATGTTACATGAAATGATCAAAGTTGTCCACAGCAACGGGAACTCATCTAGTTTCATTTATTTTTTTATTGTTGTATTAGTCATTGAAGACTCCACGACCTTAACTTGTTTTAGTGGTAGCAGTAAGTCAAAACCAAGAAATTGAAACATCTAATAATAGTGGATGTAGACCAGAAGCCAAGACTCCCATGAAAGGGTCTCTTAGAATGATATATAACCACTGACATTGCCTAAACTTATCGCGTATTATGAGAAAGTCTTCGGTTATAGTTACATCTTTACAGCATTGATTTATTCGTCCCTGACTGTGGCATAAACAATGAAATGTGAATTTTTTTGCTATTTTCTGTGGAAGGGCCGTACAATCTACACTTGCAGCCAAATTGTAGTATACTTAGCCTAAAGTAAAAAGATAATTACCATTGTTGTCCTATTTACAATTTCACATGAAACAAGGCTCAGTCAGGTAACACTTTTGGCGGCCATTTATTATGTTTTTATGAAGAACAACTGCTGATAAGCACTTAGTGACGGTACGGCAAGGATGAGTACGCGTGATCAAGCACGTGACTTGGAAGGGACCTAAATTCCTCGGCCATGAACGAAGGAAATTATACGAGTAGCGTGTTATCTTTCGAACTCACATATTAACACCACATTTGAACTCAGTGAGATGCATACTGGGACTGAAAAACACGATATTGTGATTAACTTTGTTCGTCATGAAGTAACCTAATCAATTATCCGATCTCGACTTTATCTTTTCGAAATAAAGCTTTTCACAATACGTTTCATTGTAGGGATGTTATTTAACGAATTCTCGCGCCACATTTTAACCCAGTAAGAGAACTAATATGATTAGAAGATACGGGGATGCTGCTCATGCATTTACAATATGGTTTTCACGAACGCTATTTGAGTAAACTGGTTGATTAAATTCAATCGCACTAAAAAAATGTTTCTACAAGCGTACTTTGAGAGAACTTTGGTTGTGTAGTTTTCCGGATTAGAGGTGCGATTCTTCGCGACAATATCATGTGGTAGGCGCTGCCTTGTTCGATACCAGAGGCCAGATCTATTACTGATCACTAAAAATTGCATACCGAATATTTTTCTCGCTGATGCATAACAGGTTGATTGACGGTAACTTACGAAGAACCTAAATAACTTTGGCTGGCTTAACTAGTTCTAGGACAATTTTTGGATGGACAAGCTTTGTTCTCCTCATTTACGCAGGAAAAACACTTATTTATCATTTCTTCAGAAGATTTGGATTCACTACGTTCAGTAAATTGAGGATTTTAAACTGAACTGAAACTGCATATGATGTATCTTTGAATATGATTGTATTTTGTAACGTTTGGCTGGAAACGGCAAAGACTTATAATAAAAAAGATAAAGGGAAGCAGACTTTTGCATTCTTAACACGAGATAATATTTAAACCTTGTAATGCAAACTATAGGGAACATAGAAATTAGGAACACCCAGTGTCAAAGTGCAGTGGTAAAATGCAAAATAAGAAACTTTTAAAACCGCAAGTGTTTCATGAATATGTAAAAGGTGTTTTTCCTTCAGTTATGAAACCACGTGCTTTGAACAGCGTACAGTTGGCCATGATCTATCTATTACTTATCGCCTCAGGAACGCTTATCTCTTATTCGGGCTTCGTTAACGGAGCCGAAGCTGGGAAAGCCAAGATCCTACTAAACTCAGTGAACAACAAAATTTCGCCGAACGCTTTTGAGCTGAACCCTGATGCTTTGAAAGAGATATCACAGATGAAGCGACCGATCCAAGTTATCGCCGCCACTGGAAATGCCCGAGTTGGAAAATCAACGCTCCTCAACCTAGTTGCCCATAATTTGGACGAAAATAGAACATCTTCTGCAATTGTGGAAGTTTTTAAAACCGGTGATTCAGTAGAAGCAGTCACCCGAGGAGTATGGGGGTACATTATTCACCATCGCGACGGAAAAGGAAGCATGCTATTGCTTGACGTGGAAGGTACGGATCTAGGTGACGACTCTGTTACTGATCGCCTCAGTATGTTTACAGCCATGATGTCTTCTAGTTTAAATGTTTTTGCGGAAAATTTTTTGGGAAACAACGACATTGATTTTCTTTATCGCCTAGCACGCTTGAGCGAACTAGTGTTCAAAGATAAATACATTTTAAAATATTTCCCAAAACTGCAAATTGTGTTGCGGACTAATCTCGACGTTAAAGATGGTGATTATGACTTCGAAAAAATAATTAAAATCAATGCTCATAAAGGGAAGGAAGATGCATTGGAAATGATCTATAAATTCTTTCCGAAGTATTCGATCGCAGTCACCCGAATTCCAATTGTTTTCAATGCCACTGAATTATTCAAAGATCAACTTGTGTTGGAGAGCAGCTCCGAATGGAAAGCGTTCAAACCTTTGATCGAGAAAATGAAGGAATGTCCAGAGAAAAGAACTTTTGAAGGAAATGCTATCGGCGGTGAGGCGCTCAGGGACCTCGCTAAAGGGTTGGTTCAAGGAATGAACACTAATTCATGGGAATATTTTGGAAATGCATACGAAACCTGGGAAAGAGATATTTGTAGAAAGAGTTACAAAGAGCACATTGAGCCGGTTTTAACGCGGCGAACCTCAATCGAAATACAAAACGAGATGATGGAGGCGTTAGACGAATTTAAACTTGTGTGTGAACTAAAAAGTGAAACAGACAAAGCGAAGGACGAGCTCAAGCGTAGAGAAAGGGATAAAAGAAAGGTCGAAGACGAGGAAAGAAGAAAACAAGAAGAAGACAAAAGAAAACAGGAGGAAGAAAGAAGAGAACGGGAGGAAGAAAAAAGAAGATGGGAGGAAGAAAAAAGAAGATTGGAGGAAGAAAAAAGAAGATTGGAGGAAGAAAGAAGAAGACGGGAGGAAGAGAAGAGAAAACAAGAAGAAAACAGTTGGTGGGAATATGCTAAGAACGCTGCTAAGTATTTCACCCCAGGATTCATCGCAGGTGCATACTTTTTAAGTGACGAAGATCTGAAAGACAATGTAACAACTCTGTCCTGCTCCGAGTTCAACGATATCGGCTTGAGAGGGGTCTGCTGGGAATGGAATGATAACGCACAGAGGACCTTCGGACTGACTGGCGAGGACTGTGGAGTGATTGCTCAAGAAGTTAAAGTTGTGTATCCTTGGGCTGTGGCAGAAGGAATGGATGGCTATTTACGAGTGCACTATGGCATGCTGCTTGAAATGATCAACGTTGCCCATAGCAATAGTAATTCATCTCGTTTTAGTTAAGTTTGTATCATTGTATTATTCATTGTAGACTGACTAACCTACTTGTAACTTGTTTTCAGGGTAGCACTTGGTCAAAACCAATATAATTAAAACATGTAATCATGGTGGACGTAAGGAACTCCATCAACTTAGGAAAACACACCGTATTTTGCATTTCACTGGCTCAGAATAGTGCGAGCACGCTGAATTTTTCAAACCTGTTAGATTGCGTCATTTTATGAAAATCTTTTGCGTTCTCAAAAGATTTTAGAAGCCCGTGCCACCATTGTAACTGCTTAAAAATGAAACCAACCATTTTAACTACTTCTGAGAGGAATGCTTGTTTATTTTATTCATGAAAACCTCTATCACTATTTAAACCCTACATTTTATTGATTACCTGCCCAAAACAGCAGAGTGCATCAGATTCAATCTTCACCTCAGTAATCATCTTCAGTTCCTGTAGCGGTTCTTTCACGTCCACCTCTAAGCACTTCTGTTTCGTAGGAATCCACATCTTCTCATGTCCCTGGTGAGCGTAAAAAAAAAAGATTGAAAAGATCCTATCATGTCCCTGAGATAATCTTGTGAGGGCCACAATAATTCAGGTTCCTATAAGTGATATTCCCGTATAAATTTGCTTGCACATGGTAACTAATCAATGGACTTTTGACGCAGTGTTTTTTCTTTGCAGTAAATGGCTTGAACCCGGGGGTAACATGTGAAGGTGTAGTCTGATCGTCCGGGTGAGTGTAGTCCTGAGAAGGACTGTTGTCGGTGGTAGAGACTGACGTTTCGACAACCTGTGCGGAAGTCATTATCAGAGTCAAGTGAATGATTGTTGTCAGTAGAATGTTCTTATTCCAGTTCGTGTGAAATGATCGGTTGGTTTTGCCGTGATGTTATTGGCTGTAAGACTCAAGTGACGTAAGTCGGTCGTGATTGGTCTGTTTCGATCTGTCGGTAAAGTTAGGTCGTTCTTTTTCGGTCGTTTGTGATGTTTATGTCGTGAATGAGTCGTTTGTATGGAGCGGGTAGTTGTTGACATCTGTTTAGGGGAGTCTGTTCTAAGTTAGTAAACCAGCTTTCCAGAGTCAGTCGTTGAAAATAGTCAGTGCTGTAGGTTAGGCATTGCGCAGAGTCCCAGTCAATGTTGTGGTTGGTAAGTCGATGGTGTTCAGCAATGTGATTGCTGACATCACCTTTCCTCGTCGCCCGTCTGTGTTCAGTCAGTCTTGTTGTGAGGTTTCTGCCAGTCTCACCGATGTAGGAGGCTTGGCAGTCGGAACAATTGATCTTATAAATCGTTCCCTGTCTGTTCCTCGGTTCGTCTTNCCTTCACCTTAGAAACCATGGATTTTATTCCATTAGTTGCCACCACGCTTAGAATGACTAACTGTTCACTCTGCTGTAAATTTTTACCTCTGCAAGTTTGACGACTGTTTCTCGTAACGATAATCGCATCTGACAACCGCCTGTACTTGATTCCCCGAGGGTGAGCTTTACAGAGGGCTCTAAAATGCTACGGCCCGTCTCGGGAAGGTCCCTAAAGAAGATAGATAAACATGTAACTTCTCAGCAATTTTAATACATCATCCAGCAAAAAGGTGACGAGAATAAACAAACAGCTGGTGGATTTAATGTTGAGAAAAACACCAAATTCTCCTGCCTAATTTACAAGGAAATGTATGGAAGTCACAAGGGAGAATTTGCAGTCAGATCTAGGACAGTTTATGGATTGAATGAGGTACATGATCTGCGGTCCAATTACCTGACTTCTACGACTTTTGCTCTGATCTTCTTAACATCTCCCTGGAAGGAAAAGTAGAAAAAAAAGCATCTCGTTAAAATTTTTATTTCAATTCCATCCATCCAGGAGTACAGTAAAAAAGGCCACGTGAGACCTTGAAACAGAGGTGAAGGGGAACTGGATCTCCCCTTTCACTCGTTTCAGTCCTCTCGCAACGACTTTAAATCTAAGGTCAGTGCTGTGGTGAAAAAAATACTTGCATGTTGACTTAACTTTCCGTTGTCCTTTCTAAGTCTTCGTCATAAAACCTTGAGTCGTCTTAATTCCTTCGGGACATTTTGGTACAAATTTGACCTTGTGGTTTCGATAATCGTGCAAGTTAATTCGGATTTTTTTCAGCTTGAGAATGTGCGGACTTTGCTTACCTTTTCGAACAGTGTTGTTTCGATTCTGATATCCCCTTGAATGTCCGAGTAGTTATGCATATCGGCCAAAGACACAGGAAACCATTTATCCAGTCCTTTAGGACTTTGCGCCAGTGTCTCTCGGTCAAATGTCACTCGTCCAATAAGATCATCGACCCTAGCGAAAAAGGAGATACCATGAAGTCACTAACTGAAAACTGGGTATCTCTCAGTGGAATTGCAGTATTTAACATTTGTGATGATTTAAAATTGTGTGTTGGCAGCATACGAGCCTTAATTATTCCAAAAACCAATCAGAACATAGGAAAATATCACGTAGGACTAATGAAAACTCAAAGTAGATACATTTCAAGCGCGGGAAAACGCGATTGATATGTGAGCTAATGTCTGCTTCTGATTGGTTGAGAAGGTGGCAGGAAATTTTTAGACCAATCACAGAGCATTTCAAAATCAAAGAAAACTAACGCAATTCTGTATTACTTTGATACTCAAATAAAAATCGCTTCGAACGAAATGGTCTATTGAAACATATACACCTTCTTCATATAGCGTCAGATTTGTCGTCGTAGGGTATTCAAACGAGAAAACTGCGGCTTTTATTACCCAATAGTGTCTTCATCATAAACAAAAACAGACAAGTTCGTAAAACCAACAGGTAGAAACATCGTGTATTCTTCTCCCCAAAATGGCTCCAAATCTCTCCAAACTGTGGCAGTTCTAGAAGAGAGAAAATAGTGTTACAATTTAATGATAAAATATTCCACAAGAAAAAATTGAAACACAAGCCAAATGACTCAGTTGTTAATGTCAATGTTGCATAAGTTCCGAGAAAATGTATAAATGTGCTTAACAAACTTTAAAGGGAAACGAGCGGGCAAAACAGACGGAAATTAATTTATATCTGTTAATGCGAGCTTCAACTTCCTTTCCTGTCTATCCTTGTCTGGTAACAGATCCGTTACGAACGAGGTTTAATAGCCTTGTGAACGGCAAAGGGCCCGCTGTTGTCTCATCAGATATACTGAAATTTTAGGAATTAAATCATTTTCCGCTTTGTTAGATAAGAACCGAACGTTGTCTTTAATTGACCTCAACTGAATGTTTAAACAGTTCACTTAATTATCACCTTTAAATTGCTTGTTTTCACCTCCCAAGAGGCAATTAGAAAGACGATCGCCGAGCAATATATTTCTAATTAAGGTATGATTTTTTCTGCCATGATCTCCGATACATATAGAAGGATAAAAACGTGAAACGATGACCTTACGTCTTTTATTTTTGTTTAATATACCTAGCTTTGTTTACATTTAAGTTAGTATGTAGATTTTCTTAAAAAAGATGGGGTTTAGTCGCTATACCCCGCATGAATAGATCATTCATGCCGCCTGTTTTTCGATCGAAAGCGAAAAAAATGTTATCGAATCGCCGAAAAGCTTTTTGTAACGTAGCCGCGTCCACTAAATGCCTGATTTCAACTGCGCGCAGTTTTACAAGGAAGTAAATTTTATTCAAAGATTTGCCTAGGGATAAAAACAGCTGTCATGGTGTTATTCAACTACTGTTTACTTTGTTGAATTTTGGGCTCTGCGTTTTCTTGTTTATTCTCGTCAGATATTTAAACAGCGAAAGCGGAAAACCCCATTTAGCATGTAGCAACTAAGCAGCTAAAACTTAACCCTATACATTTCCTATTTAAGTTACCTGTGATTTTCACAGATTATAACATCCTTTTAACAATGATTTGCTTTCATCAAAAGACTTGACATTCGTTGTTAATACAGCGTAAGTCAATTAGCAACAGAAAAAGCTCAAAGATATTCACCTACCTCGCAACAGGCTCGTTGTCAACTTTCACGATGCAGTATGGATCACTCTTTCCAGAGCTATTTTTAAGACAAAATCAAATCAAATCATTTCCGAGTGCACTAACTTAACAATGGCCGGCACAAAATTTGTTTCATTCAAAAGAGCTACTAATGTGAGTGAAACTATTTATCAAATAAATTATTTAACAATGAAAATCTTCCGCTTTAACTTACATGTCTTTCCGTGGTAAATTCTTTCCCTCACCGATTCGAAGGTACAAAATAGTGCTCTTCGCCATTTTCACCAGGTTTATCTTCGTTTACAAGGCAGAACTGTTGGCAGAATCAACAAGTGCAACAGAGAAGAACTATTGCAAGATCAACAGTGGTGTTGGCACTCTAAAATTTTTGTAAACAACGGAAAAATTCCGCCCTTGCGAGCAGAATTCTCAGTTTAAAAACCGATTCATCAACAGTTCATGCGTTTCTCAGGGCGCCGAGTTGTGTAAAAGCTAGCAAACAATATCATAATATATTTCTGACCCGCGGACCATCAAAGGAATTTGTTTCTCCCTAAGCCAATTGGCAGGTTAGCATATCATTACAATATTAAAAATAGACAGACACCCTTTATCTGACAATAAGCGATCACTCTCAAAATTTTGAGCCATAAATTTTATTATCTTCTGTTGATCTATACTATTCTTAACAAAGGTCTAAGTGTTCGATCAGTAACCAAGGATAAAGTTAATTCCGTTCGTAAAATCGTTGTTGTTGATGATTTTTTTCTAATTTTAGTCTTTAAGATCTCACAAGATCATTGTCTATATATTGCGTGACGTTTTGTTGGTTTTTCTCTCTTTGGCACAACAACTTTATAGCCTCCTTTACAGACGTTCTTTGTGTGTCGAATTAAAAATATCTCCCCCGACGGACGTTCGTCGGGGGAGATATTTTTAATTCGACACACAAAGAACGTCTGCAAAGGAGGCTAACAACAACTGCGTCATTCATTAGTTGAAATGAGTGGGCTAGTCCGGATACAAAAGAAAATAGCAGCATTGAGAATTATTGAACACTTTTAGTGGTCACAAAAACGATATTAACTGCTCCATTTGTGGTTACTATTGGAGTACCCTTAGATCAGAAAAGAGAACAAGGGGATAAAAAATCGTTTATCAAAACAAAGTAGACTATACAAAAAAATTGAAAACCTATTATCTTCTCCTATTATATACAAATTCTTTGCTTACAACTTTGTCAGCTTTGTTGCAAACACATTATACAGTTGTAAAGAAGCGAGTTGAAAGAGTTGTTATCATGAAATCTTTATAGATACTCGTCTGACTGACTCCGGAGGATCTCATAAGTTTTAGCCATGAAGTTAATCGCAACTTAAATCCCAAAATGAAGTGCTTTTTCAAGAGCACTGACAAGGGGATATCAGTTATTTCGCACGTGAATCTAGTTCTAGTATACCCATCACTATATATGCACTAATGTCATACAACAATATTAAGAGGTTAAGTTTTGTCAAGAAATCTCTTGGTTTTGTGTAGCGGTACCTACCTGATTGTATGCGAGATTCGTTTGCGATACACAAATTAAGGCATTTGAATTGAGACGGGTGTATCACTAATTATTTCCTATTTCCTACTTCCTGTTGCTATTTGCAACAGTGTATTTTTTTTTTTTTAGCTTGACTTAGATATCGTATCTCACACCCACGAGCGTGAGAGCCCTCTTTATGACGTTACATGGTTACAGGGTCATTTTGGTTGATTTTGGTACACAGTGGTTGTTTGGATATTCAAGTAGTGGATTCAGAAATGACACATCAATATTTTGTATCAAATTTTATCGAGAATCTTTTTAAAAGTCAAGGGAGTTGTTGAAACTTTGAACTTTAAAATCATTGCGCCATTTTGAGCTGCAAAAGTGCCCAAAGTTTTCTTTTTACTGAAGGTGTAGATGGTCGGTCATTTTTGTAGAAAGTTTCCTTCAATCATCGGATCACCTGCACGAATATCGACCAAATGGTCATGTCTTGTCGGGACAATACATTTACACATACATCAAAATCATTCTGCTGAACGACTGAGCGTAGACTGGAAACGAGTATCATGTTCAAAATTCAAAATGGCTCCTACGTGAAAGGTACTACTTTACTTTGAGGTGGTTGGTATTTTTTCTTTGAGTTCGAGCCGATATTGAATCATCACACGAACAGAAGCGCATTATACATACAATAGAAGCTCATCGCTCATCACTGCTTTCAAAGACATGTCAAGATCGCAGTCCTCGCCGGATATTTACAAAGTTTCTGTGACTCGGACGAGCTCCAAAAGCCTGGACGAAGAGCTTCTCGAATTGTGTAATTTGAGCGGAGTCACTCTGGACCCTGATGTATTCAAGATATTGCTGGATTTGATCAAGCTTAATGTTCCACCGCCTTCTTTAGTGACAGTTCTTAAGCAAGTTGCTTCTACCAAGGGTTATCGAAGCGAAGGTCATCCGACTTTGTCGGCAAAGTCGAGTACTGGTTCTACTGGTTCGGCAGGAAGCGCTACTAGTTATGAGTCATTGCAGTCTTCACAAAGCACCATTGCTTCTGGAAGTAGTTTGGGATCGACTCAAAGCCCGAGACTTGAGAGAATCCCGATTTCAAGCCGCTTAAGAGAAATGAAAGCCAACGCCATACCGCAGTAAACCGAGTTTACCTTTATATAGAGACAGAGCAAGGCTCTACAGACTTTTTTTTGTAACACCAAACAACGATTTTATAGCCATCGACTTATAAACGTCATTTATTGTAGGTTATTTAAAATTTTTAACTGCAAATTTGGATGTAAACGTGTTACCACATGTTAAAGGTTAGCTTTGTTATCCTGGATGCTTGTGAACCTCAAGAAGTGTGACCACTGTCGTTGAAGTCACTTAGAGGACATTGTCTCATTACCAGGGGTTTACCATCAGTGTACCATAACCCATAAGATCTCTTACCTCCATCTCCTTAGCCTGGAACAAGGCAGTTGTGTTTGGGTTTTGCGCTACGAACCCTTAGATTTTCAGGCAGAGGGACCTGTTGCACTCTTGGTAGCTGCTCATAGAAAAAGTGATTGAAACCTCTAGATTACAGGGGAAAAAGCCATAAATTATTTTTAACTCTTTCTCACTTTTGGTTAGTTTGGTCTCAAGCACCGATTGACAAAGTAGAACTTAGTTGGAATCATTGTTAATATCTAATAACATGTCTGGTAAGTGTTGATTAAGTGACCCCAATATCTTAAGAACCACCCTTATTCCCACGAGTGACTAACTAGTACCTTTTCCTTACTGATTGAATACAGGGCTGTGCTCTAAGAATTATTGAAGGGAGCCCAGTGGTCTGAAACTGTGAAATCCAGGGTACCCAGCATATGCTTTTTATTCAAAAACTAAGATTCCTGAGCCGCCCAAGAGTAAAAGTAAGGTGCTAGGTTCAACCGGGCGCTGCTAGACCACATCCCTGAGCTACATTCATTTAGGGCAAACCTATCTGCCGGAGGTTGAAACTCTATCTTGATTGATCTCTGAACTGAAAATAAAATGAATTAATTTTCTGGACCTACAAAGGCAATTCTAAGAATAAGAGTTCAGTTACTATCTGGCCTTCTACGTTTTGCTGTAGCGTAAATTGGCATGATAAGGAATGTTTTTCATCAAAACTTGTGGTGTTTTTCATTTCACTGGCAGCTCTTTACTTTCTTTGTGCTCCCTACAATGATCATGAGGAAGATTCAGAGAACAGACTAGCTTAAGAATATCTTCCAATCATTGGGCATCCTTAGTGGGGAAAAAGTTTTGTCCCTCAAGGCTTGTTTTCTCAAAGTCAACAACTGGAACATATACTTATGCTATTTCATGGCTAGGGGTGCATAAGGGGGAAAACTGTAGGGTGAATTCAGAAGTCTCAAATATTCTGCCTTGAGCTGCAAACAGAAGGCAACATTGCCATGTCTGAGGTTACAGGTTTTCCCCGAATGGATCCTAAGCCAGGAAATATCTTAAACTTTTCCTTCTTTCAAAAAATTTCCCAATCCTTCACAAGGATAACTCATGGAGTTTAAAACATGAGATTTTACTTACATTCCAAGGATCAATGTTACTTTAATGATTTGTTTTATTTCTAGATCATCCAAATTAAATAGCTAGTAATAAGAATCACTTGAGCTATGTAAACTATAACTTTTTTTTATTATATTTTAATGCTGTTTCAATAGTGTAAATAAGTACAAGAAGCATATAATAGTCCAGGAAAATATTTTCATTTGACAACTAATCAACTGAAATTCACAATCTGTTGCTTTTCACAAACTGTTTCAAGCAAGCCAATAAATTATCTCCAGATCACATAAATTAAATAAAGTCTTTATTTATGGGTCCATATCATCATCATCATCATCAAAACTAAAAGTACTGCATTCACCAACAATTTCAACATGAGAGACCCTGCAAGGAATAATCAGAATTATTATCCAATTGTGCTTCATAGAGTACGCGTTAGATGAGTACAAATATCATCCGGTATATCATGTGATATTTGTACTCCAGAAATATCCACGAAAATTCGCCTGCACTGAAATAACAATTTGGTGTGTTGGATAATAAATCTCTTATTAGACGATTTGTTGTGTAGTAGCGATTCAAGTATTTTTACTTGTTTGTATTTTGACTCACCCTACAGGCTTGTCAAAATACGGCACAACTCATTAAAAATACTCAGTGATACTACACACTGAAACCTCTAATAAGATATATATATTATTTTAAATAACAGTTCACGTTCAATATTTGTATTAAGTAATATTTCAATCATACCTCATGGATAATGCAAAAAGTGGCACAACTGATCTTGTTCTTTTGACTGTCAATTTTTATCAGATTAGTTCTAACTTTGGTTTGTCAAATCTTAAATTTCAATCGGGCATTTGTTTCTTTTTATTTATTTATATATTTATTTTGATCAAAAAAGAAAAACTAGTGCCTTTTAAACTCACCCTTTATCTTGAAGCGGGTCTCTCTCAGGAATAATTTCCATGATCAGACTGCTGCTTGCACTGCTACTGTTGCTATTAGGCAGATCAACCTTATTGTCCTAACATACAAAGAGCATCAAAACACATGCTTAGGAAACATACTGATTTGCAAACAATGATTGAAGATGTTTTATTGACAATTGTATAACTAACCCAAGTCAATCTACCATACCTTTTTGCATTCACATTTGACAAGACAGCTCTTGTCACACCATAAGAGAAACAACAAAAACAAGTTGTTCACTGTAGAACTAAGACTTTGAACTGAATGTTTAATTTTTACTCATTGAAGTGATTTAAATGAAACTTCTCACCATAACAATATATTATCCAGCAAACAGATTGTGAAAAACTTTCAGTGAAAGGTGTTTCTTTGATGTGACACAAAATTCTCCAAAGTAATTTAGAATCATGAAATGTATGACAGCCAGAAAGGAGAATTATGCATACGATCTCTGTTCACCTGGTCATCTTGCTTGCTCCCCGTCGAACAAGACAACCTATCATCAGGACTTTTCCATGGAACAACTGCCAAACAAGGCTTACTTCTACAGAATTAAAATAGAAAAGAAATAAAGATTTGATGTCAGACAAGCACTAAGTACATAGTATAAATATGTGAAGTGACCTAAAAAGAGTTGACTCATGATAGTTTTCCTCCAAAATTATGCTTAAAAACAAATCAGTGGCATTGTGACTGAAATAAAGACATTGAACTTACAGCTGATTGTAGATAGCTTCAGGAATGATTGACTCTTGTTTGATGATAGCATCCTTCATGTGTGTTGACAAAACAAACCTTGGCAAATTGTCTTGATGGCTGAAAAATGTGACGAACCCCTTTGTTAAGATATTGTAAAGTTTGGAAAAACATTCAGCCTTTTCAAAGATTAGCCATGGTATTTTGTAGTTTACATGGTTATAGAGGCCACCATTGAGTCAAATGTGATGGGTATGCAGGTGATCAAAGCATTTTTCTAAAGAGAAAAAGATACAGGGAAAAACCTGGACATTTCTTAATGTGCTGATAAAGAGAATTTGTTAAAAAAAAAACAAAGGCTTCTTTTGTTGGTGATCATTTCCTTTGTTCTAGTGATCTTAGTTTTTGATTCTAAGGAATCCTAAGAATAAAGGGATTGAAAAAAAGAGAGAGATTTGAACTCACTTTTGTGTAGCAGCTGTATTTTTTACTTCATTGTCATCACTATCATCATCGTCATCTTCGTGAATTCGACTTTTAGTAGTGTCAACCATTCGATTTGCTGTCACACTTTGCACAGTATTTACAGGGTAACTATGGTCACTGCTTATCCTTAAATTGTGCATTCTTGCTGCCATTCTTTCTGACAGATACCGTTTACTTGAAGGTTCCCCTTGTCTACAACAAAAGAAATGAATATATAAAAATTGTGCTGAATGTACCCGCTTAAAAAGATAAATAGATAACAGTTAAAAATATTTCTTACCCATCATCACCAGCTGATAAAGTACTTTTCCGTTTTGCCTTGTGGGCATGAAAGTTGTCATTTCTCCTGCCACAATAAAGAAAATAGTAAGGGTTAACCCCTTTATGCCCTAACATCAGTATGCATATTCCCTATACTCTTCTATATACATTTCTTAAGGTGCTGACAAGGAGTCAACAATCAAGAGCTTTTTTAACTGGTGATTATTTCATTTATTCTTGTGACTTGAATGTTTGATTTAGGGGTAACATTGTAAAGAGAAATTACATGCTAATCAGTCTTAGGGTCAAGGTGTTAAAGTGTTATTTACTTTTATTTCTAAGTGGTCATTTATATTAATTGTTTAGTATAAATGCATCTGTCAGTTAATTTGGTTAAGCAGGGGACGTTAAAGAACCCACTTCACGAGATTACTATGAGGTGGTCTGGCCTGTTTATTAGGAATTGGGGGGAGGGGGCATCTGTAAAATTTCTTCTTTATTAATTGTAAACTGCCGCTGGCAGTCTGGAAAAAGTCCCCCGCACAGTGTTGTAAAGTGCATTACAACATTGCATGGAAATGTGCTATAGAAATTGATATTATTATTATTATTATTATTATTATTATTAATTGTTTGGCACTCAATTATACTATGTTTATAGTGGTAATGGGACTGTGTGGTGTCTCCTTCGGTAATCACATGAGTGACCAACAATACTGGACAACAAAAAAGTGCAAGTTCAATTTCTTAATCACAAGTAAGATTATAGACAGAATTGGACAACATGAAGTCCTGTTACCAATTAATCAAAACTATGACAAAATTTGAGAAGGAAACTAGACATCAGTTATACTTTTTCATAAAAAAAACAACAACAGTTACCTCAGCCAGATGCACAACAAGGTGCACACATGATGTTTATGGAGCAACTTCAGAATACCCGTCCACCTCATTTACATGTGTCGGGAGGCTTTGAAGAATGAGGCATAACACAATAGATGCTATTCCTATTTAATGACATGTAAATAAGTGGCTGGGTATTCTGAAGTTGAGTCATGTTTATTTTCCACTTAAACAGGCATGATGTGTCAACTGTACTATTATACTGTCCAATTTAAAGCATGACATGTACAATGTCGTATTAGTGCTCATATCGTGCTGGTGAGAGTCAATCATGTTGGAGAATTTTTTTATAGTTTTTATTATTAGTGTAACTACAACAACATATCATACACTTACCCCCTACCATTAAGTCCTCGAGACACCTCTATATTAAAATTGTGAGAATGTTCCATAGAACCACTTGTGGATGAGAAATTGGGTTGCTGTGCCATTGATGTTACTGCAGGGTTACCAGAACTTGAGCCTGGTATAGGATTCGAGTATATTGTGGAAAGAGCTTGGCCTTGAAAGCTCGTACTCATGTTTTGATTGTTTGAAGTCTGTGATTCTTGTAATAGAGTGTGCATTTGTATATGCGATGCGCTTTGTGAAGCTCGTAATGAAAAGTATCTTTCAAACGGCGGTGAACTTGAACTGCTCGATTGTTGGAAGTTTGATTGTGGCGTTCCACCACTGGGTAACCGATTTGTTAATTCTGAATTTCTGGAAATTCCAACACCATGAACTCTTTGTTGGGGTGGAGGAAAATGCGGACCTCGTAGAGAAAATCTCAAGCCATTGCCGCTTGTTGTCTGCTGAGCTCTCAATGAAGGGTGTCTTGTAGTCTCCCTTGGCCGATTTATCGGATTAAAGGAATCTTCGTTGTCCCAAGAAATCGATCCATGAGGGATATTGTTGTTGTTGTCCATGCCACTGATGAATGTCAAGGGGAGGATGAAGCCAGTCCTTCAAAACCCCTTGTCCATAAAATACTGGCTTAGTTAATATCCAGGGAGGAAGAGTTGTCTTCGAGACTGGTTTAACTCATCATGGAAGCCAAATCTTCTGATTAAATTGGAAAGGTAAACCCGCCATTGTGCTTTATAACCAAGCCGTATAACAAATTTCAAATAGTCGCACGCAAAACAAATTGATTCGGTTAGGGAGGGGAGGGTAAAAAAAGGAAGCTTTTTTTTTTTTTCGATTTCTGCGAAACGTAAAATAATTCTCATGAAGGGTAAAACGATTTATTCTGAATTGTTTAGAAAATACAAAAGAGCAATTTACTTTACCCTTTATCATTCAAGCTCTGATCTTCATTTCAGAAATTCACCCTGTCTCATTTCTCCCCACCGGAATCCCCTAAACTAAGAAGTCCATAGATTTCCTCTGTGTGACTGCGGGCTCGTGAGACATCCAACATGGCCGCAAAGATGGCGGCCCTGCGTTGTTTTAGAGTTCCTCTGGCTTGTCGGCCTGTAGTTGCGGACGGAATTCATTTTTCAATGCGGATGCAATGTGTATTCTTCTCCCACAGATATAGTTTAATTTTCCTAGCGACAGAAAGTGGCATTTCACCCATGTTGAAAAATACATTTGGAGACCATGAAACCCCTCTTCTGGGATCGCAGAAGAAGAGATTTTTTACATCTTCTTCCGTCACCCCAGATGGTAATCCACAAATAAGTAAGTAACAAATCCGGCTGTCCTTATATGTTATACAACGTAAATGTTTTGTAAGAGGAGGTAAGTTGCCATATCCTCTCATTTCCATGCTTAACCACTTCTCAGTCTACCCTATACCCCAGTAGGTGTGAGGGAGGTGAGTTCAGGTGCGATGGGGTCAAGTCCAGTGGACAATAATTGGGTTTCTTCATAAAACTGGTTCAATAAAACTTTGAGTTAGCTTGATCTAGACTAGTTTTGGGTGCTTGCTTCCAAGTTAAACAATCATATATAATTATAAACACAGGTGGGCTAAGAGTACTGCATGGGCCGTTAAAAAAGGAAAAATTAAAAAAAAAAAAAAAATTAAAATTGAAGTGAGTATAGAACATGTGAAGTCTCCTTACCTTGCTTCCGTAGCCACTTTGTTGCCGTTGCACAATTAGCACCTCACATTTGCACATGTAATCATCACATCACTATATCTACACACACACCTATATGAACTGATCTGTTGACAGGCCTCATTAAATATTCACTCTGAACATGAAAAGTAACAGTCACCATTGCTAACGGTCATTTTATCGCTATTTTGGTGGCTTTCTTTGTAACACATGTAGTGCTACCAATCAACTGCATATAAAAAAAAAAAATAACTGCAGTTGTCTAGTGTACCTTTTTATTGGAGTGCATTTCTGTTGAATTCCTGTCTCCATTCTTGTACATATTTGAAAAAAAATTAACCTATCAGATTATCCCTATAAGCCTATAAAAACTGTTAAAACCCTTAATGTTTTCAAGAGCTGGTGATTACTATTTTAAGTTCCATTTTGAAGGTTTTAGGTTTACCTAAATGCTTCTTTGGTCTCTTGCAGCATTTGAAAGCCTTTCAGATCTAATAAAAGACAAACTACAAGAATCCTTTAATCAAAATTCCTTGGCAACACATTTGAAAGTTCTTGAAGCTTTGATCAAGCATTGGAAAGGGGAAGTGTTATCTGTATCTGTCACAAGAAAAGCAGCTGAATGTATGTCTTCTTCATTGTTAGGTTTTTTTTAAACCTAATGTTTATTGTTAAAAAATTCATATTATAATAAAATATTCTATACATTTAGGAACCGTGAGTATCTATCTGAGTATCATGTGATAAGCTGAGTTATGTACGCTTTTTGATTGGTTCTTGCTTGTAACCCATAAGAAGACAGATGCATAGATGATCTCACCATCAACAACATTTTGCTATTTTATCATGTAAAACAAATAGATTCCATGTTGCTGTGGGTCTATGCAGTTGCATGCTTGCAGACAGTAGTTTGTGTTTTCAAGTGTGAGATCCAGTATGGGAAATACTCAGTTGCCATATTGGACAGGTGTTAGATTTGGGAGGAGTGACAAAGGAAAGGGTAGGGGAGGAAGGAGTAGGGGAGTCTCTCTCTCCCTCTCCGGCCCTCACTTTGTCACTTGTCCAACATGGCAACCAAATATTCCCTGCCCGGAATCTCATGCTTGAAAACACAAACTCCTGCCTGCAAACAGGCTATCTATACAGTAAAAGATCACAGAAAGTGTCAAAATGTGGGAAGAAAATCAGTGATACACTTGGCTGTGCCTCATGTACCATTTTTTGCTCTTATCACATTTTGATGTCTTTTATGATCTACTTTTGAACATAAGCACTGGAACATGGAATTTATTTTTTTTAATTATTAAGTTATGATCAAGATAATAAGTAACAGTTAATGCTTTATGTTCTATGAACTAGCCACTGATAACAAATAATACCTAGAGCAAGGCCAAGCATGTCATCTTGTTTTCTTTTTATGGGAAATTAGCAGATCATTTTAGTGTAGACTTTGAATGAATTTTTTAATTTTAAATTATCTTGCAATTCTAACTTTTACTACATCAGTATCTTCAGAGGATGTTTACAGACTGGCAACACTTATCTTTGAAGCTCAAGAATCAGGTGTGACTTAAAAATTTTTTAACTTTTTAATATTTGCTATCATGATAGAATTTTAGCTTGGGAATCTCATATTAATCCATTGTACTTCATCTGTGTAGAGTATTGGAGATTTTAATGTCACAATCTACCAATTCCCCAGAGGCTAAAAGCGATTTGTAGGCAGTTGTACTTTCAGTTTAAACAAATAGTACAGGTAAATGTCTTATTTACCTTGTTTACAGTTGGAAAGGATGCAGTTGAATTGGCCGCTCCACTGTTCAGATTTTCTGCAATGGCTGGAAATCCAGATGGAATGTACAGCTATGCAAAACTCCTGGAAACAGGTTCATGATGACACTCCTCTGAATATTAATACAGTATATTTGCTATGCTCAAGAAGGATTTTTTCAAGAAATCGAGACATGATTTTGCATGATGTTCAGATAGGCCTTATAAGGCAGCATAGAATGATTGCTCTCTTTCCCCATGCTTCATTTTGTGTCATTCATTTCTTTTTATTCCATTCCATTCTATCCCATCCCATCCTATCTTATCACATCTGACTTTTTCTCATTTCCTTCTACCAGATCTCTCCTCATTTCAGTTTGTTTTATTTGTGCTTTAAATTTTTTATCTGCATTTCCTCAGGAGAGGGTGGAGTAGAAAGAGATCCCATTGAGGCTGGAAAGCTTTTCTCAGAGCTTGCAGACCAAGGTCATCCATTTGCTCAGGTGCTACTGCATATACTGGCTTCTTATGGATCATGGCTTAATTAAATCTTGGTAAAGTTGAGTACGGTAATGGTCATCGATTTGCTCAGACCTGTGCTACTGGCTTCTTTTAGGTCATGGCTTAATTAAATCTTGGTAAAGTTGAGTACAGTAATGGAGTGTAGGAGGTCTTAGGGAGGTTTCCAGAATCCATTAATGACGGTTTTTTAGCTTTTATAACATAGTGAACATAGTTTCCAAGTGAATGCCTAATCAGATCATAGAAAACGAAAAAAGGAAAAGGAAGGAAACTCGTTAGAGCCTGCATGTAACTAGTTATGTCATAAAAGCAATAACTTATTTGTTGCAGGCTCTATAGCAGAATTAAGCCACTTGGGAGAAAACTTGAAAAGCTTATAAATCACTCCCCTTCAGCTTTTGATTTATAAGTTTTCCTCATGTTATCCAAGCATCCCGTGTGGCTTTATCATGTTATAAACCCTGGAGAAAATTCTGCTCTATGGCTTAATGCTACTTTCCTGCTTTGCTCCTCTCCCTTTCCAACACACACATGTGGAGAAGTATTCATCCCATGCATAGTTTTTTTTTTTTTTGAGTCTTGAGGACAGATGCTCAGTTCTGACAAAACATGAAATTGCTTATCTTTTGTTTTAGTTTGCTCTGGCACATTTTTACCACAATGGAATTGGAATGAAAAAAGATTTACAGATGGCCCTTGAGCTTTATGAGGTACTATTTTAATTTTCTTGATCTAAAATTTTAATGTTTTGTTGATAAATGTGATTGTGTAGAGTGACAGTTTGTGTTCACCATTTTAAATTTTCTGGTCAGTTCTCAAATTTAGAAATTTAGAAAGTTTTACAAAGAATAGTATGAAACTGTATTATTTACAGACTTAACAAGTATTTTGAACCCTCAAGTCTTTAGTTAACAGTTTGTTCCATTCAGTGGCACCCTCGGCTTACCTGTGAAAATTATGTGATTTTGCCTGTTTTTAGGATCGGAAAGGATTGAAGTTCTCTGCTTGGAAAAATGTTTTTTAAAGATATTTGGCTGTAGTTGAGAATAAGTAAGCTTGACACATGTGCTGTGTTAATCCTCTTCTTATTTTCAGGCCAGTGCAAAGAAAGGTGTGAGGGAGGCTAACACTATGATTGGTATGTACATAAATGACCACAGGTACATGTTGGAGCAAAACTTAAATTATTCCCAGAACTAGATTAAGCTCTGGGCTTATTGGGTATTAAGCTGGATTCTGTATTTCAGTATTTTCTACTTGTAATTATAGACCAGATTTCAGTGTAGTTCCCTTCCCATCTTTTCAGCTTCTGTCATTTTCTCCCCCTTCCCTCCTTTTCTCCCCCTTCCCTCCTTTTCTTCCCCTTCCCTCCTTTTCTTCCCCTTCCCTCCTTTTCTTCCCCTTCCCTCCTTTTCTTCCCCTTCCCTCCTTTTCTCCCCCTTCCCTCCTTCATGCCACCAGTGTACAATCCCAAGTAGGGGTATCATTGAAAGCGAGTCTCTGGTGCTACATACTGCTGCCTGTTAAATACTTATAGCCACTTTTAGGGTATAGTTCAACTGACAGTAAAACACTGCAATCCTATAGACTCAACTACATTTAATTATTAAATTAAGAGTAGTATTCTAACTTGGGAGCAACTCCATTTGAGAATACTGTAACAATCCTCATTAACATACTATACTTACTTAAACTATAACTTAGCTTGCCACTGCACGAACTCACAGTTTTCTCCAAAGTTCCTTGAAGTTAACAATCTTCCACAACAGTTCTCTCTCTTTGTATAAATTTCCACACAGTCAGTCATTCTCAACAACAGTAACTACTTCTACTACATAACCAATTCCATACATTTACAAAGTATTCTGGAACATTCCAGAAGCTGACAACATAACTGTTATAATAGTATTACATTATAACAACAAAGCTTAAAAAAAAGAAAAAAGTTCTAGAAAGTTCCATAGAAGTCTCATGCATGCATGTCAGCGTGACTAAGCATTCTAGAAATTTCTGAATACTTACATGTTTGGGTTTTGCCTTATGGCACATCTGCCTTATTGAAAATCCTTACCCTAAGAGTTTGGGAAACACGAAACAAGTTTACGAGATCACTGACTTTGATAGCAAAAGTAGTTAAAGCTTATTCTACACAAGAGTAAATTTATATCACTTTGATTTTTTTCTATAAAGGAAACTTGTACACCACTGGAGAGATAGGAAAGGTGGATCTAACAAAGGCAGCCAAGTTCTTTACAAATGCTGCTGAGAAAGGTCGGTTTTTATACCAATTATGAATTACTGGGCTTGTTGTGGAGAGAAGCTGATCAATTGACAATTTTATGGGATGGTTTATGATGTTATGATGGTTTATTTGTGAGAGGGGGAGTGCTGGCATTCGAGGTCAACTGCATTCGTAAGAAAGATCAGAGTCGCCAGAGAAGAAAGGAAAGGAAAGGAATTCAAACCCTCGACCTGGTCCAGTCCCCAGCATCCCCTGCCCGCATTGCGTCAGACACTTCCGTGCGAAGATTGGACTTATCAGTCATCTCTGCACCCATCCCACCCCCCAGTGATTCAAAGTCATGGTCTTCTTCGCCAGTGAGGGACGAACATCAGGAATTACTGGGCTTGTTGTGGAGAGAAGCTGATCAACGCCTCTGGAATACCTTACCACTGGACATATGAATGAAACTTACTATCAAATGTTTTAAGAAGGCCATGTTAGATTTTTTTAAGAATAGTTATAAACGATTAGAACATTTTATCTTATAGTTTTTATAAACTTTGTAATTTTAGATTTTTAGCTCTTGATCTTTTTCCATAATTAATTAGTTTTTAATCTTTTTTAATAATTATTTGTAATATATTTTAAGAGGGCCACTGGTTTGTCAGTTTTATACTGTTATGTGTTTTACCCTCTTTAACTAAAGTTGATTATTATTATTATTATTATTATTATTATTATTATAATTGACAATTTTATGGGATGGTTTATAATGTTAAAGGCATTTGGTATAAGAAAAGCTAGTAGAAAATGAACTGGTGTACAGATATATGTGAAATCTTTAAACAAGAGATTATCCTTGAATCAAATATAAAGGTCACAAGAATAATGGAGTTGATCGCGTACTAAAGACACTCATGATTGTTCAATAAATTCTACTTGTCAGCACCTCGAGAAATGTATAGAGAGAAGGGTGGAGAATATGCATACTGATGTTAGGGTTAAAAGTGATAAGGCCTTACCTGTTTCTCATTCAAGGAGGAGTATAGAGTAAGGCCAAAATAGGGGAAGATGCAAGTAAGCCTTGGAGGGTAGGAAAGATTTTTTTAGATCAAACCCTTCCAAGTAATGTTAATACTGTAGAAAAGTGTAAATCTGTTTGAGAAAGAGAGAGAGACACCTGGGTTGTATCTTCAGTGTTTTGATATTAGAGTTATCGTGATGTGAAATGCTTCCCTGATTTTGAAACTATAAAGTGGTCCACTTTCATTTAGGTGATGTGCCAGCTCTCATGTCGCTTGGTGCATTTTACAGTCAAGGCACTGGTGTAGAAAAGAATTTTCAAAAGTCATTCAAGTGCTACAAAGCAGCAGCTGACCAAGGTACATATGTCATTATGCTTTAATACTGCAGGTAACAGTTTACTGCTGTGGCAAAAACATATTTAGTGTAATGCAACCATGTTATTTTTGGTATGTTTGGTGCCTCACAGTCTGTTTGTCAATCCTTTAATGAATCCTTTGCAATGGTCAGTCAGTCAGTAAGTCAGTAAGTCAGGGAATCAGGGAGTCATTGAGTCCATTTGTCAGTTTTTTCAGTCAACCAGTTGATCTCTATTGGCAATAAGTCAGCCCATCCATCTGTTAGCCATTTGTAAATCAATTTAGTAAGTAATCATTTTAGTCAATTTATGGGCCAGTTTGTGGGTTATTCAACTAGTCAGTCCAGAAGTCTGTCTGATCAATAAACAATTCGATCATCCATCCATCCATCCATCCATCCATCCATCCATCCATCCGTCGGTCAGTCAGTCAGTCGGTCAGTCAGTCAGTCAGTTAGTCAATCAATGATTGTTTAATGAATTCATTTACATAGCTTTTTCACCTTATGGATGGGGCTTCTATGTACTCTACTTCATCTGCTAAGGCTTTATTCTCCACAAGGAGAGGAAAGAGTGATGACATTTGGTATAAATTGTCTGCTTGCTAGGTCACCTAACAGCCCAGTACAATGTTGGAGTGAACTATTTTGCTGGAAAAGGAGTTGAGAACAACATGAAAAAAGCTGCTTATTACTTTGATCTTGCTGCTCAGCAAGGACATGTGTTTGCTCAGGTATGATGATGCATCAATAATCACTTAGTTTAAAGATCACCTAGAAACAGTTTAATCTGTTGAATTTTTTTTTTTTTTCTGTCTGGGAGAAGTACAGCATGAAGGCTCGAACATAAATATGTTAAGTATCACACAACTGTATTGTTAAGTAGCAACTTGCAGTTGAGGGCAAAACATATAAACTAGGTGAATTGGTCAAACTGGTAAAAACAGATCAACTTCCACACATGCATTGCTATGCCGATGACACACAGATTTATCTGAGTTTCAAACCTATCAGTAACACATCCCAGGAAGATGCAATCTGTGCAATGGAATGTTGTATCGAGAAGATCAGGCGCTGGGTGATCCATGATAGACTCCTTCTTAATAACGACAAGACTGAGTTTATTATTATTGGAACACACCAGCAACTCAACAAATTACAGGCTATGAATATTAAAGTAGGTGGTTCAGAGATAAAATCTAGCCACCAAGTTAAGAACCTTGGGAGCTGGCTTGATCCAAAGCTGAATATGCGCCACCATATTACTAATGTATGTAAGGCGGGTTTTTTCTACTTGCATAATATTAGACGCATTAAGAAGTATTTATCGAGAGACAGCTTACTCACT